CTTGGTAATACAACCATTATTATTTCCCTTGGATCCGGTTCGGCTTAACCCCTGTCTCCCACAGGTTTTTTGGCCCACAACCTTGCCTGTCTCCCCCCCCCCCCCCCCCTTTTTTTTTTTTTTTTTTTTTTTTTACTTCCATCTTCGTCCAGACGAGGTATAAATATTTGATTTGGTAAGGCTTTACTGACAAATGCGCCTCACTGCGCACGTGTGACTAGCTGCTTTAGATGGTTGCGATGGAATTCGCATTAGGGACCGCCGAATTAAGGTAGATGTCGAAAGAGGTCGAACGGTTAAGGGCTGGAAACCTCGTCGTTTTGGTGGTGGTCTGGGTGGCCGAGGATATTCCAAGGCTGCGCCTCCTCAACCTCGCGGCCCCGTATTCGGAGCCGGTTTCGGTGGACGTGACGGTTTCCGCGGGGGTTTCCAGGGCCGTGGAAGAGGAGGAGGGTTTGGGGGTGGCCGTGACCGCGGTTTCCGAGGTGGAGGTAGCGGTGGTGGAGGGGATTTCGGCTCTGGTCGTGATCGTGGTTCTGGTCCGCAAAACGGGTATAACCCGCCTCCCAATGCGCCGGCTGGTCCCAACTACGGCGGACGTCGTGGATTCGGTGGAGGTGATCGGGACCGCAGCGGACCAGGGGGACCAGGGGGACCAGGTGGTGGGTATGACTCGCGCAACGGCAGTCGCTCATATGATGATAGATCAGGCGGACATCGTGACGGAGGCAGATTTGGCGACCGCGACCGCCGAAGCGGCGCCAACTTCGAACCGGTTCGTGGCGGACGAGAGTATCGCGACTACGACCGGTCGAGAGACGACGAGAGCCGGAAACGGGGTTTCGAAGGAACATACGAGGATCCCCGAAAGCTACGACGCTACTAAGCCGATCATTCTTATCGAGACAAGAGCCGTTTGTCTTGGTGGGTATCTTCTGTCTTCCGTTCTTCTGCATGCACACAGACAAGCATCCCGACTTTTCCTTCTGCCTTTAGCCACCAAGGGTAAGCAAGGGTAAGATGGTTTTGAAAAGCTACCGAATGAACGAAAGCTACTTGACACCAGACGACGACCAAGTCAAAAGGTAAAGAAAGCGGACAAGACATTGGAACGTCGCACAGCCCAGCCGAGCTTAGACCGGAATCCTACTACTCCACCCCTATCTAACAGTGGCTCTGGTGGCTCACGTTTCAATGTCCTATTCACCATCTCCCGGATCGCCTATAGGCGTTATTAATGCCAGAAAGTAGCGAGGTAATCCGTTTTCCTTTTTAACACTTACATGTACTCTATGATGACCGTAGGGAATAATTGCAAGGTTTAGTTGAGTCGAAAGCAATGAATGGCGAGTAGTTCCTTTTCTCATCAGGTAAGGTCGGAGGTAAGAAATGATGGGTATGCCTACTGACCGGGGATGATGATCTATTGTTAAGCTGGAAAAGGGCCAGAGGCGTTGGATGGGAGTTGAAAAAAGAGGAATAATGAGTCAAGTTGTGTTGTAATCCCGTGTATTAGGTAGGAATAGTTCTTGTCTTCGACTTCATTTGGCATGACTTGACATGTTTCTCACGAGACACAGCATCGAATTGTATTGTAAGATAGTCACGAAAGAGTTTTTGGTTTTTGAACCCACGATCGTTTTGGATATTCACGACTCATATGATGCCTTTAGACCCGAATAAGCCTTAACATGCTAATGGCTGATGCCCCATATGAAAATAGCGAAATTGTGAAAACCTGAATGACTTGATGGAAAACCCTTTCCGGCCCCTTTTTCTTCTTTTTGCCTCTTCCGAAAACGCCAACAACCATGGTATCGCCGTAAATGCAAATACGAGAATATATACGAGAGAGGGAGGGAAAAAAACAAAACAAAAAACAACAACAGACATATATGTGTGTGTGCATTCCCATTTTTTAGTCGCTTCCCTCGTCCTCAACGCCGTCCATGGCCTCCGGGTCCACGGGCGTGACTTCGGAGGTGGCCGCGCTCCAGTAGGCAACGACCTTAATCTTGAACTCGCTCAGGCACACGCTGAAGAGCTTCAGCAGCCGCGTCTGCCGCGAGTCTAGCACGTCGCCCTGGCGACATACGACGTACCCTTCGTCTTTAGCTACTCCTTCAAGACCTTCCTCCAGCACGACGCGGCCCTTGACCATACGCACGGGCATACCCAGACGGCGCAGCTCGGGCTCGAGCGTGTGGCCCAGGGGTACGTCGTGTTCTGCGGGGACCTCACCGCCGGTGGCATATACGGTGCCCGGGGGGATGACGAAATCCCTCGGGGCGACAGCGCCGGCGCGCGCGAAGTCTACTTTCTCGCCGGCCAGGGACTCGAGGTACGGCAGGAGCTGGGTGGGAGACCGGTTGGAGAAGAGGAGGCCGACGGTGCCGCGCAGGTAGGGCGTCAGCTTGTAGATGTTGTCGGCGTAGCTGTCCTCGGGGCCGTGGCCGAGGGCGCGGGCCATGAGTTTTGTCTTGCCGAAGAAGAGACTATTCGATTTGGTTAGAAGGGCCATGCCGTCGTCGATTATACTCTTGATTTATATATATATTAGATAGTATATTAGTAGATAGGGGTAGACGTACCGGCTATCTGACAATTCCTGCCTCACGTCTTTTAGGTAAGTGTTGCGCATGTTATCAACTGCAAAAACGAAGCAGTGTTGGTACTGAGGCACGCATTCGCGAATGTTTTCGAACAGTCTCTCCTTGTGCTCGCGGGTCTTCTTGTTGACCTGCGTAAGGTGGACGACCTTGGAACGCTTCGACTTGGGCATTGTGACTTTTTGTTTTTTTGGTATATCCTGGAAAGTTGGAATAAATTGTTTGAATTAGAGGTTTAGAAAAAAATCTCAAAAAAATCAAAAGGAAAATACGCTGAAGAGTCGCAAAATTCCTAATCGATAAGCGGGCGGTCTGCTACCTATTTGCCCCACCGAAAGCTTGGAACAGGGGTCTTTGCTATCTTTGCTAGATTACCTCTACCGCATCTAACCAATCAAATACAAAGAAAATCTTAGATCCCGGACCCAAGAAAAAAAGCGACGTTTGTTATCGATAGGAACCGACAGAACTTGGAACCATTTCTTTGGGGGGAACTCGGACTTTAAGCTCGTGGAAGCTCCAGAATCAAGTTTTTAGGCCTTGACTTCGATACCATTTTCCCCCTTCCCTTTACAAATTTACAGACAATATGGACGGGTAAGTTATTGGCTTTGTATATCGCAGCGAACATTGCCACAAATGGAAATATATAACTATCAAGGTAGTTAATTAAAAGCACACCCATAACTAATCCGACTGCAATCCGACAGATTAACGGCAGCCGAGTCGCGCGAGCTTGAGCAGCGCATGCAGAAGCAGCAAATGAAGGTCTTCTTTGGCGTATGTAGGCCCAATGCTTAGGTAGATACCGTGTATAATATCAAGTCACTGACGCCGAGTTCAAACAAAACAGCTCTTCAGCAACTTAGTTGACCACTGCTTCATGTCCTGCGTCGATGACTTCACCTCCAAGTCCCTGACGGGCCGCGAGTCCGGCTGCGTCGCCCGCTGCGTCCAGAAGCACATGGCCTTGTCCCAGCGTCTTAGCGAGCGCTTCCAAGAGCACAACGCCCAGATGACCCAACAGCAGCAGCAGCAAGGCGGGTTCCGATAAACCCGGAATTTACAAAGGAGGCTTTGCCCCTCCTCCCCTCCCTCTCTTCTCCTTAGGGATGTATGTACGTTATGCTCGTTATGCTCGGAGCTTCGAGTTTTCGAGGCGGGATAGCTGATATGGGCTTGAACTGACGAGGACTGGATATGTTGTCCATGTCCTATATGATACAACATGGAAAACCTCGGCTTAGGCTATGCAGCCTTGATTGTGAGCGCTGTTAAGGTGCAATGTTATCCGCGGGCGAAGACGCCGAGGTTGGGAATAGCCTCGATGTATTTAATAGGGAACTACATAAGGGGTTCCCATTTGGGTTAATACCCTGGCTCTAGAGTTGAGCCTCGAAAATTACTATTTCAACTCCCGTACAACAATTTCTACAATGTGTATAACGTTTGTAATTGATTAATACGAAACACTGTTGCAAGCATCGTGAATTCTTAACTACCTACTAGGTACCTAAGGTAGGTACCTAGGCAAAAGGACAAGCGCCGTTGATTCTAGTTATCTGCCCCTATCCTACCAAATGCCGTGGTTATTCCAAACCCTCGCCTAGTACGATTCGCACGAGCTCCAACTGCTCTGCAACTTTTTCTTCAAGCTTGTTCTCGAATCCTCTACCCTTATTCCGCTCCGACGGCGGCATGCTTCTCCACTCCGCTTCGCGTGGCCCCAATGTCACCAGCCTCTCTCTTAGGAGTTTCCGACGATCTATCCAGAACTCAACGCTCTCTTGAAGCGTCGCTGAGTCCCACTCGACTGCTGGTACATCCCTCGCATTATTAGCACGCAAGGCGCCCAGCACGCGGGTCATCAGAGCTAAAGAGTGAATCTCAGACACCGATAGAAGTGTGATATAGTCGCGATCCCCGCGGTCTCGCCTTCGACTATCGCTGGGCGGCTCAAACCTATCAACGCTGGATCGCATGAGATTGGGAAATTGGTTGAGTACGTATGCGACTTCAGGGGCAATCGTAGAACCCAAAGCCGTCAAGATATTGAGAAGTAGAGGCACAATCCCTTTAGCCCATATACTATAGCACCGTTGTAATCCAACCGAGTCGGCGAAGGGCTTCACGTTCGACCGCCGGAGGTAACTGGCCAACGTGGCCGTCGTGATATGGTTGAGTAGGCCATCGCATGCTAGTTGTTCTGCCACCAGCGGCAAAGTGGATAATTCCAATAAGAAGAGTATTGATAGCTCCCCGTATATAGGATCACCTTGGTCGGCTATCTTGTCGGCCCATGAATACAACGAGACTGCGGCCTGCACGACGTCGTGGGCGGTTAGGATATTGAGAATCTGCGTTTGATTCTGATCCATTCCTGGGAAGCAAAGACAAGCTTGTAGGATGGCATTAAGAAGAGCAAAGTCGTTCGGGGTGATGATTGGTTGCGTATCGTGGACTAAAGACACTAGAGTTCGGAATCCCTTGGCGACGGTAATATCAACAATGCTTAAAACGGTCTGGGTGACGGCTGCCGTAGCCACGGCACTCCCGTGCTTATCGGAAGACGCGTTCGCTGTCAGTGATCGAACTTGAGCTCGCAACGTGACATATAATAACTTGAGAAGTGTTCGGTATATCGAAATGTTCTCCGGTCCGTACGGCTCCTGAACGCTACTGACTGTTCCCCACAAGGCTGTCAAAAGCTGAGTGATATCGCCAGGGGATGGAGCGCTGTCGACAACTCTCTGCACAAGCATAAGTGCTAAGTTTACACGCGATTCGGCAAGGCGCTCAAAGACTTGGTCGTGACTCTGCGTCTCTTCATTCGCCTCTAAACATTGCTGGGCAACCTGGATAGATTGCTTCTTTAGAGTGTCATTGGTTGGCAGGCAGGTACTTAGCTCAAGAAGTAGGAATTCCCAAGCATGATATAAATTCTATATACGAATTAGCGGCAGCTAGATTCAGATTCGAGGCCAAGTAGAACTTACGATTTGAGCATCGACTAGTGACAGATTAGCGTTTGCCTTTTCCATCTCGCTTCTGAACCCGTTACTCCGAGGACCAACCCAGCCCGGGTCGAACGCAAGTAACCTGTCTGCAAAACAAAGAGCATAGTAGAAACCAACTCCTAAAGACCGAGGTTCAAGCAAGGTCCTCTTGAAATTATCGAGGGTACAGCCAGGATACTGGTTACTGAAATTTCGAGCAAAATTCACATGCAGACCCCTATTATAACCTGAGACAGCGACACCGTCTCGTAGGTAGTAGTCTAGATCGCGTGTCAATTCCTTCGCGAATGCATCCGCTTGGCCTATTTGTCGCAGGTGGAAGAGTTGCATAGCAAAAATTTCAGCAACATATGCAGCGATCCGTGCTTCGGTGCACGCTCGCAATACGTCGGACTTGGAAGTAACAGAAGACGGCTTAAGGTCTCGTACAAATTTTCGGAGCTCTGTTAGGAAGTTGGTATTCTTTTGTAAGGTGAAAATGGTCCACGGCCAAAAGTTTTGGGCGGAGGTGATGAAGTCTAAAATTGAAAGAACTTCTGACTCTTCAATTTCAGATATAGAGCTAAGCCTGTCGAGAGCAGAAGTGAGCACAGAATTTGAGGACGGTTCCGCTGCTTTGTCAGTACCGTTCTTAGCATCGCGCGGGGTTTTTCCTGTAAGAAGACAGTTCGCCATCCATTGTTGCCGGTTTCTAACAATAGTCGAAAAGAACCGCCAGATAGCATTGACATCCTCGGCTTGGTTAAAAGGCTTGTCTAGCATCGACAACAGTTGGAGAAACGAACGGGACGTTTGGGGACCAAGATATCCAAGTAAAGAAGGCGGCTCCCCTGTGCTTTTCCCGGAGCTGATCACCAATGCTTCTAGAAGCTCGATAGCAGGTCCTCTGAAGGTATCGTGACAGGCACAGACACGGGCAACGAACGGCGTTGCTTTAAATAGCTGGTGCTCGACTGTAGTCGGAGACCGGTCGAGGAAGTTTGCTACCCTCACCAGACTCTTCGCGAGTTTAAGTACCGCTTTCGTCTGGGCACGGAAGGCCTCGGATCTGTTCGCATACACAGTAGAGCCGTACGGTTGTGTTGCCGCAACTAGGGTCACGAGGAGCGGCTGAATACGAAGACTCCCAGCTGACGGCGTGAGGAAGCAGTCCAAAACGTACTTAGCGGCTGGTTCCAAAGCTGACATTAAAAACGTCTTCGAATTCATATCATCCATGCTAAACGTGTAGTAGATGGCCTTGTCCATGATCGGTACTACGTCACGTACGAGGACCATGCGGTCTAGATCAGACGCGAATCTCCATGTAGTGGAACTCTCCAGAATGTCCATCGACGCCCGTACAATCGACAAGGAAATCTGGGCCACTATCTTGTCCGAAACTCCTAGCCATATATCCTGAATTTGCTTTTGCCTAGAGTTTGTCTTTGCACCCGTTCTACGCCGTACCGAACTGTCCATGGCGTTGTCAATGAGATCGGAAAAAAGACGCACAGCAGACATCAGGAACTCCAGCCGAACATCGGATAAATCAAGGTTCCCAACTAGCCTAGCGAGTCGGCCACCTTGACTTTGGTTGCTAAGGATTGCGCATCGCGACATGTACGACCAGACCCTTCCTGGACATATCGGTAGAACAGCGTGAAGGAATTGCAGACAAGCTGCTACGGCAGCTAGTACATTATTTTCTGGCTCCGCATCTATGAGAAGGTCTAGTGTATCACAGACAACCGATATGATGTCTTTAGTTCGCGATAACGCCCGACTGGCCTCGCCCACGATGGCCAACGCAGTTTCCGGAGTTTCTGAAGAGTTTTCATTTAGCGCCTGATTTTTCACGCACTCAGTGTGAACCAGTACAGCAAGAAGCGACACCGCCTCTGCGGTCTCCTCCGTAGTAAGCTCTCCGAGTTCCAAGTTAAACTTGTTTGCTGCAAGGTTGGCGTCCAGTCTTTTTCCAAGTAGAGCCAGGGCAGAATGTTCATATTCCACTTGCACAATTCTGCCTTCGTCTACTATGAAGCGGCCATAGGTGCCCGCCGGTATTATAAAATGTTCTTCCTCGGCTGTTATTCGTTTCCGGGCTGCTACCGGGGCAATAAGGGGAAAATCCGATAAGAATTGAAAGCTGTTGGAATTATCCTCCTCGTAGGCAAGTTGATAATCGTTGAAGTCATCGGGTAGAGTAAATGTGAGCGTTGGCGTTTTTTGAAGGAGCTTTAAAATGAGCTCCCGATTATGGTCATTAGTATGCGAAGAGTAAAGAGTTCGACATAGGGTAACGAATGGGATAAATTCGTAAGGAAAGCGGTTCAGCGCCTGGTGGAAATAGCTTTCAAGAATAACCTCGTCATTCAAGGCCAGCGTGATAACGTCTTGCTCCACCGAGGTAGTGCGGTATCGAGAGAGATCCCAATAACCTTGGCCACCAGATAGCACGGCTACTAGGGAGTAGACCGGCTCTGATTTATATCCTACGAAAGGATAGGTAACTCGAAGTAAGTCTAAGAACGTGCATCTCATGCGAGAACCGACGGAGTCCGGAAATATCGCATTGTCCGAGGACCCGAGACAAGCGGACATAGCAGCAATGACATCGTATACTCTCGCTCTGTCCGTGGCTACAACTGCAAGTACCTGGACCCGTTTGAAATCACGGTCCAAGTTCTTGTTGATGAGAAAGTCGTCATATCTCCGCTTGTCAATTGTAGTGATACTCCCCGCGGAGTTCCTCCGGCCCAAAGTTGGGACCATCTGCGTAGCGGAATCATAATTCTCGACGGCCTTTTCGTTTTGAATTGTATCTCGCCTCTCTGCACGTTCCTGGTATGAGGAGAACATCGCATGTACTACCGGCACCCAAGCAAATAAAACCGGGGCCACATATAATGAGCCTTGGTCGACCAGACCTTCTAGCACATCGTGGATATGTTCAAGAACACTCGAAGTAGCAAGGTATTCGTCGTCCGTATTCAATTCTACATCCCCCTCGAAGAAACTCATCATCCGTGGAAGATTAAGAATAGAGAGAGAAATGACGCAGACGAGGCACTGTAGGGGAGCTGCCAAGTCTGATATGCTTCTTGGGAACTGGAAACGACATTAGCAAGCAAGTACTTTCTACTCATACATATCATTTGAGCGACTTACATTCTGGAGCTGTTCTAAAAAGCTTAGTGTATTGACTAGCGAAAACCAATTCTGAGCGAGTTGGGCGGACACGAAGACATCACTTGATAGATCCAAGAGCTGGAAGATGATAACCATACGGTGAAGAGCTTCAGTGAGCCACGTCTGAATCCACTGCTCGTTGAGCTCATCCGTCAATAAGATCTTGTCATCCACCACCGTGTGGAGGGGAGCCTGAGAGCGTGAAATAGAATCCGGGAGTAGACCCAGATATTGATTTACAAGGGCGTGGAAGGTCTTAGTGGGAGTATCATTGGGAGATTTCTGAGGCTGCTTAGGGGACATGCCATATGCTTTGAGATAAGACTTTCGGATTGTTTCTGAGGCCTCGGAAGGTGGTGAAGAGGGCATGCTTTCCTGTAACAACAATGTAAAGATGCAGTCATTTGTAGCGGCATAATAGCGAGATTCCTCAAGATAGGTTTGGAATATACGCTGCTTCCTACTCTCAGACTTCTCGAAGTTTGCCTGTATGTCGGCCGCGTCGAGCGTGCTCACGATATTAAAACCAGGAAGGATATTGGTGGTTTGCGCATTCGAAGCGCCAGCGGCTTCGCGGAGGCTCGCGACATCTTGGTTTGAGATAGGTCCTAGAAGCTGATTGCGAGGACGCGACTGGAACTCAATGACAACGACTCGAAGAGCAGCAATCTCGTTAATACGAGCGTTCTTGCTCAGCCAAAGGGCGTCTTCTTTGATGGTATTGATGTCGTACTTGTCATTAGGGGCGGGTGTGACTTGGATGGCAGCAGTTTTTTTAACAAACGCTGCATTGTGAGAACTCTTATCGCTTGGTGGTTCGAAGGCCGAGCCTGGTTGAGTGAAGAAGGATTGGACTAGAGGGTCGGTGAGATAGTCGACGACAGCAGAACTGTTCTGCCGATGACCAGACGGATCTGTCAGTGCCGAAACTAGTAGCTTCCACGATCTAGAGCGAGCAGAAAAACCGATGTCAGTCAGTAGCCGAAGATAGCTAGGCTTGGAAGCATAAGTTATGGTAATAACTTATGGTGTTGTTGCACTTACAAGACGACAGTTTCGCCCTTCAAGCAGGGCTCCAAAGGAGGTAAATAAACATGATCTGATAGTGGTTCTGCCATTGCTGCAGCTATCAGCAGGCAATGCGCAGGTAACTGTGCATCGAATGCATGTGAAATGGCGAAGGACGAGAAGCTGTTAGCTGTTCGCTTTTCGCTACGACGCGGTTTAAGAGAATGTTAGAAAATCGCAAAATCGCAGGTTGCTGCTATTTCATTGGAGCTAAGTACCTAAACATAAAAAAAGAATGTTCAAGCCTTAGAACCTTAGCTTCCGACGTGCATGTACAACACCTACCCACTAGATGTACCCACACAAAAAAATACATGTACAAAACGTATAGTGCCACGCGCAGGTACACGCTCATCCGGCTAGGTCTAATGTAGTACTTGTAGTTAGGTACTTACTATGTAAGGTACATGTAGTAGGTATCCTTGTCCAGCTCGGATGTTATCGATAAGATACGCCTATCAGCTTCAGCCTTTATAATGCCGTTATTGGAGGGGCTACTTGGAATTCTGTCACCTTGTCAAGCCTCCGATCCCCGGAAACAATTCCAACATTGTTTGCATTGTACTACATAAAACTCCTATATTGAGAGGAGCTGGTAGAGTGGCAGAGTGGCATTCCCTCGTTTTCACTTTATAATCTCGTCTCTCATTTTGTCTATAAAGTGTGAACTCTGTGATCCACCAATCAAGATACCCTCATTTTCAACCCCCGAATAATAGAAGAGAAGTCATCTCACTTCAAAGTGTTTTTCTTTTCTTTTCTTGCCATAGATCAAAGTAGACAAAACAAATAGGAGCCGAGAAACAAACATCGAAGAGCAAGAGAAAAAAATGGCCGCAACTCTGGACATCATTGATCACTCTCCTCATCATCCCGACCCGTCACCTCCCATCCCAACCGCCTCGAATCTCATCCTCATAGACAACTATGATTCCTTCACCTGGAATGTATACCAATACCTCGTCTTAGAGGGCGCCAAAGTCACCGTCTACCGAAACGACCAGATCACTCTCGACGAGCTGATAGCCAAGAAACCAACCCAACTTGTCGTCAGCCCCGGGCCAGGTCACCCCAGCTCCGACTCTGGAGTAAGTCGAGATGCTATTAGGCACTTTGCCGGAAAGATCCCTATATTTGGCGTTTGCATGGGCCAGTGAGTCGGAACAACCTTCATTATAGATTTTATCTCCGGTCTACGCCTAACACGGGTATATGTAGGCAATGCATATTCGAAGTCTATGGTGGCGAGGTACAGTCCGCGGGAGAAATTCTTCACGGCAAGACCTCGCCATTGGCCCACGATTCCAAGGGAGTCTATGCCGGAATGGCACAAGGCCTCCCTGTTACGAGATATCACTCGCTTGCCGGCACCCATGTTACTCTACCCGAATGTCTCGAGGTTACTTCTTGGATACCGAAGGACGATGGCTCAAAGGGTGTCATAATGGGTGTACGCCATAAAGAGTATACTGTAGAAGGCGTTCAATTCCACCCGGAGAGTATCTTGTCTGCAGATGGTCGTACTATGATTAAGAACTTTTTGCATACCCAGGGGGGAACTTGGGCTGAAAACGAGCGACTGCAAAAAGAGTCGCAGGTTAACGCTGTCGCAAACAACATCACAACAACTTACCCAAAGAAGAATAACATATTACAGCAAATATACGCCCGCCGAAAGGAGGCCGTGGCAGCTCAAAAGGAAATCCCTTCACAGCGCCCAAGCGACCTCGAGGCTGCCTACGAACTCAACGCCGCCCCTCCTCAAATATCCTTTGTCGATCGCCTACGCCAAACACCGTTCGATGTCTCCCTAATGGCCGAGATTAAGCGAGGCTCTCCCTCGAAAGGCATATTTGCCCTGAACATTGACGCGCCGTCGCAAGCAAAAAAGTACGCTCTCGCGGGAGCTAGCGTCATTTCTGTGCTCACCGAGCCGGATTGGTTCAAGGGTAGCATCGAAGACCTCCGTGCCGTGCGACAAGTGTTAGATAGCATGCCCAACCGGCCTGCGGTACTTCGAAAAGAATTCATATTTGACGAGTACCAAATTCTCGAGGCACGACTTGCTGGTGCTGATACAGTTCTCCTGATTGTCAAGATGCTTGACGTGGAACTGCTTACGCGCCTTTATAAGTACTCTGTGTCCTTGGGAATGGAGCCTTTAGTCGAGGTCCAGAATGCAGAGGAGATGAAGACGGCAGTTGAACTAGGCGCTAAAGTCATTGGCGTCAACAATCGCAACTTAGAGTCCTTTGAGGTTGACCTAAGTACTACCAGCAGACTCCGCAGTCTTGTACCAAAGGAGACCATTATCTGCGCTCTCAGTGGTATCAATACTCATGACGACGTAGTCGCCAACCACAAAGATGGTGTCAACGCCATTTTAGTTGGCGAGGCCATTATGCGTGCACCCGACGCATCGGAGTTTATCCAGCAGCTCTGTGCAGGTCAAGTAGCCGTCAAGCAAGAACCCAAACCTGATCCTCTCCTTGTCAAGATCTGTGGCACACGGACTCCCGAAGGCGCACTAGCTGCCGCCGAGGCCGGCGCGGACTTGATCGGCATGATACTCGTACCGGGAAGGAAGCGCACTGTAAGTGACGACGCCGCAAAAGCTATTTCTAAAGCCGTCCACGACTTCTCTCGACCTAATTCACATGCCCCGTCCGCCCTAAGCGACGTAGCCAGCGACTTCTTCACCTCGGCAACCAGCAAACTTACTCTCCCAAACCGCCCCTTACTCGTCGGCGTATTCCAAAACCAACCCTTGGCCGAAATCATTAACTTGCAAAGGCGATATGCTCTCGACGCTGTGCAGCTTCATGGACGGGAGCCTATCGAGTGGGCAAGCGCAATTCCCGTCCCCGTGTTAAGACGCTTCTCGCCGGGTGAGGCGGGTCTCGGCGCCCGTGGATACCACGCTGCTCCGTTGTTTGATTCGGGATCCGGGTCAGGTCTATTACTGGACGGCGTCGGCGTAAAGACGGCGCTAGCGAAGGACAAAGAGTTGCGAATCATATTGGCGGGAGGTTTGGCGCCGGAGAATGTAGCAGATGTAGTCTCTGCCGTCGGCGAGGACAGTAGTCGGATCATGGGTGTTGACGTTAGCAGCGGTGTCGAAGGACCAAATGGCCAGCAGAGTTTAGATCGGATACGAGATTTCGTGACGAGAGCAAAGGCTATTAGATAGATGTAAATGACAAACAAGAAGCAAACTCGAATGGGGGGGGAGGTTAAGTGGAATGTTGGCTATAGAGAGAAATACATATCACGGCAGTGCGGTCGGAAAGGGACTCGGGTCAAGTTAGGTTAGGGACAAATAAAAGCACTGCGATTTTCATCTCAATATTTGAACGATTCGCGTAACTTCGTGACTTCGTGAGCTAATCTCTGCCACTCTTGTAGATTGCTTCCCTTCTCCCCTATGCTACTTCGGCTGGCCTAGTCCGCCATGAAATAAGTATAAAGTTCAACCATTAGTCGTTAGGTTAGCGACAAAATATAGCTTTCAGCGAGAGCCGTAATTTCGACCTCAAAAAAAGCGGCAGAGAGAATAAGAAGAAGTAGTCGTAAGCTTACCACATTCATTTTCATAGGTCAAATTACATACCGTACGATTCCATATTATGCCATGCCATGCCATGCCATATCTTACTAACTATTCACGCGCCCTTACTCACCCGCTCTACCGCCAACGACTCCCATTCCTCCCCGACGTAGTCTTATTACGCGCGCTCTCCAGCGTATTCTTGAAGTCCTTGTACAGCGCCGCGACGATGCCCTTCTCGCGCCAGCCGTCGACGATACGATTCGCCAGGTCGCGCCGTTTCCGCGCCTTCATGCGCTCCCGCTCCTTAAGTTTGGCCGCGGCCATCCACCCGTCGTCCTCGAGCCGCTCCTCAACCCATTCCTTCAGTGCATGCTTCCAGTGGATCAAGCTATGCGCCGTTTCCGCGTTACTGCAGCACACCACGCCGACGTGCCACTCACGCGTTACGGGCGGAAGCGTCATCCCTTGCGTATCGACGGAACCAGCGTCGCTTTCATCGTCGTCGTCGTCGTCGTCTTCGCTATCTTCGGTATCGGATTCGACGTCCGCAAGTGTGCTCTTGTAGTACGGATGTCCTTGGAATATGATACGAAACGAAGCGGGGTGGTTGCTTCGACCGCAAGCATCGCAAGTATCATACAGGCCGCCGCTTCTCTCCGATCTATCCATCTCGTATGCCTCCATTTTAGGCCTACCCTTTAGCGTACGGTAGAATTCTATCTTCCAAGCGGATGAGGCGAATTTGGAAGACGCGAGGGCGCGGACCTCGTCGTCTAGTTTTCGCCAGGCATTGGCGTAGACGGGGTCGTGGCGCTCGAACGCAGGGTTGATGCGGTTGTGTACTAGCCACTCGATAACATATGGAAATTGGTATTTTAGAGGCCTATGCGCTTGAGCTGTGAATTCCAAGGGGATATCCAGATTTACGGGTGCTCCCAGAGGAGCATCGTCGTCATCGGAAATGAAATCCTCTAGGTCCTTTTCGTCGCCGTCGTCACCGCCTTCTTCTTCTTCTTCTTGATCCCCAAGATCCTCTTGGTCTTTCTCCGCCACTGCTTCCTTTTCCTTTCGTCGTGATCGCTGCTTAGTGGGCTTTTCCTCTTCTTCCTGTTTTTCATCATCCGACTCCTCGTCATCGAACTCCTTCAAAGCGACAAATTCCTCCTCTGAATCTGTATCATACAATCCACGCTTATCATCCTCAGAAGATGATTCTGAAGACGTCAGTTTGTCAATCTTTTCGCCGGCTCTTCGGCGACGAAGCAGTTCCAATTTCTTCTGCTTTTCGGAGCGATGATGTTTTGGTGCGCCACGTTTTGTGGGTGAAGACGGAGCGTTGGAGTTTGGTCTCCTAAGTCGGCCAGGGGTTGAGACCGATGTCTTCCTCTTTTTCACTGGCGAAACATCCGAGTCGCTCGAATCCTCTAATTCAACAAACCTTGAGCGTGGGCGTTTCAACGAGCTAGGTGGGACAATAGGATGATCATCGTCGTCGTCATCACTGCTGTCTTCGTTATCTAAGGCGATAACAGGACGTCGACGTTTGAGCGTAGAAGGGGGAGCAATTGGCTCGTCATCGTCGTCATCGTCATCATCGTTATCATCATCCAGGACAGTATTTTGAAGCTTAGTTGAAACTGACTGGGATGACCTTATAGGGACGTTATCCTCCTTCTTTTGGTCGTGTACTACACTGTCGACGTCAGGTCCAGAGTCGGAATCATCGTCCACGACAAGGCGTTTGGAGCCATGGAATTTTGGCATGAAACTCGCTAGAGGTGGCTTAGCCGGTGATGTCGCATTTTGTGATATAGTAAATACGTACCAACAGTAGCTTGTAATTTACTCTGGCTCTTGTTAGAACGACCCTCCGAAGAGTGAGTTGTATGTCCCAGCGGGGATGTGCGAGCAGTAGTTCCTGAACTGCTGCTCGCAGCCGTAGACTTGGCATATCGCACATTCGCAGACGTAGCTTGACTAGGCGTAGCTTGACTGGACGAGGCCGTAGCTACGGTAGGCTCAAATGTGAGCCGAGTCTGGCGTTTCTTATTCTTGCGAGCCATGATATCAAAGTTGATGCGATATGTGATTGATCCAAATATGTTCAACCAGGATCAATGAGTGAAATACCACCGCCCCTCCATATCTGAAGGAAATGACGTAGTAATTGGTACTGGTTAGTAAACGAGGACAAACAAGGTACCTCTGTTTTTATGTTAGGTAGGTTAGGTAGGTAGTTAGAACAAACGGCTCGGATCGGATTAGGCCGAAAGTAAAAGATTCAAAAGAAAAAAAAAAGAGGAAAAAAAAGGACAGTTAATTGAAGCACTGAAAAATTACGCGTCGCAAAACGAGATCACCTTGTCACCTTGTCGACAAATTTCGCGAGGTCACGTGGCCTCTCATTTAAAAGCTCTACAACAGGTAAGTAGGTACCTACTATGTACCTAACATATACGGTATCTAACCATCATATCATATAATATAATGACATAATATAACGATACAATATAAATAACCTCAGTCGCCATCTTCACTTACAAGATTACCCTCTTTAAGTATTTCCATATTTCAAAATTTCAACAGGCCTCCATAAATTCAGATGCATCACTTGGGCAACTCTACAAACTTCTTCTTAACACTTCTATTCGCGATTTCGGTATTATCTCTTGGGGGAGGATCGGGGTTGTATTCATTGTGAATGTGAAGTGTATCGCAGGGGGGGGACAAAGTGTCGTGACTAAGTTATTTGGGGGAGTATGGTGTTCGGTCCACCCGTAGACTATCTAAATGTCTCTCTTCCTCTCCCCTCATAATCATTACCGTCCATCGATGCTCTGTAAATCCTTTCAATAGGACTCGCCCTATTTTTCCAAATCTTCCGCCACAGAGCACTTGCTCTATACATCCACTATGCAGGGAATATGAGTGATGGGAAATCCACAACACCCAACGAATTTCAGGCCACCGTCATCGTCGACAACATGAATACCGCGCATTACGAAGCAGCGGGTTCCTCCTTCTTTTCCTCCGTCTTGGTCTCGGCTTCTTCCTTCTTTTCCACATCGGCCTTGGCTTGGGCGAAGAGCGCCTCGTTCTCCTTTTGCGCCTTGAGCCATGCCTCCTTGAATAGTTGAGCATCTAACAGAGTGATTAGTATGCTTAACGGAAGCGAATTAGAATCGTGGCTTACTCTCAGCGTTGGCTACGCGAACAGAGACGGTGATAGCCTCGGGCTCGCCCTCGCTAACATCAGCGCCCACATTCCAGAGCCAAGCGCGGTCGCTAGTAGACATAGGGGCAATTGTCATCTCAGGGGTAACTAGATAAATCGCCCTGTTAATACACCGTGTGCTGTGTTTAAGGATCTAAGGTATGGGAAGGACGTACTGTAGTGGTTAGCGCAAACTTTGAGGGTCTTGTCTCGTCGCATGACTAGACGGATCTTGCCGTTCTCTTTGTGCTTCAGCAGGCGGAGAGGTCCAGTACCACGCTCCTTCCATTCGCCCTTGCCCTCGGAGTCTTGGGTGAACTTGAACATCTTGCATCGCATGTTGAATATCTCCTCCTCAGACTCCTCGTGTGTTACCGTCTTGACCTTTTCGGTAAGCTTGTGGACGGGCTCGAAGTGAACATCCTCTGACTCGGGGGCAACCTCTTCCTAAAAGGTCGAACTTGATCAGCGCCTGTTTTCATAAACGAACTATAATACATCAAGGTAAACGTCTACACACCTCGTCATCTCCCTTCGCAGCGGCGGCAGCTTCACGTTGAGCCTTAGCGCTGCCGGAAACATCACCGCGATCATCATCTTCCTTCTTCTCCTTCTTTGCGCCGCCGCCGAACATGGAGAAGACGGATGATGAGGTAAGAGGCTTGCTCTCAGTCTCGGTAGGCTTAGTCTCGCCGACCTTGGGCTCGGTGTTCTCGATGGCCGTCATGATGGATACTAGATACTATTAGATGAATAGGTGAGTATGGGATTGCTTTAATTGTTCTTGTCCTTCGCGACAAATGATAACGATCTTCGGATAAGTGAAGCAAGTACTAGCAAGCAGATTTGGGTTAAGTAGCAATATTGCAGGTATTGAATGCGTTGTGTAGACGAGTTAGGGAAGAAAAAGAGTTATGGTAGACAAGGTAGACTGTTCTAAGCAACCTGATCAGGAAGAAGATAGGCTTAAACAAGAAAAGAGAAGGGGAAAAAAAGGAACCGTCGGACATGCCACCCCACCACCAACAAGACGTTCGCTTCCGGTACGCAAGTGTGTCACACTCCCAAATGAAGCATAAAAAGTAGATAGTGGAGGGACGGGAATGGAGGGGTTACCTGGTACTGATGTACCAAGATCTGGAAAAGGATTGATGCAAGTTGTTTTCGACGCAAAGAAAATTATGCAGGTAGACGAATACACGTACCGATTTCTTTTTTTCTACCTTAGGTATGTAAGGTAAGGTAAGCTTTCGGGAGAGCGACTAGAAGATTGGGTAGAAGTATTGTGGTAGCTGGCTGGCTGGGTAGTATGTATATGTGTGGTATTAGGTTGAAATGTTTAAATGTTTCTGGTTGACTTGTGGTTGACAGTTCTAAATCAAATAACAGTCAGGTCTTGCAAAACAAACGGAGGGGGTGGGGAATTCTGAAGAATTGCCCCTCGCCCCGCCCTGATGCCCGCTTTCCCTTCCTGCCTCGCCCGCCCTTGGACTTTTTTCCTTCTGCTGCAAGAGTCGTGATTTCCTAGTGTCGGGCATCAAGTAACCCCCCACCGAGACCCGTTTTGTTTATCAGGTGGGAAACCCATCTGGACGGATGGTCGGCAGCTGTGAGATCATAGTACATCGTTCCAACTGTACATCTTGTATACATGTGACAATGACATTTAGGTAAACTTTAGTATGTACTGCAAAGAAAATTGCACAACCTTACCTGACATCCATGTTACCTAACTAAAAAAAAAATAAAAAAATTGAAACATTAGGTACTGCCACCAAGTTACTCATCTACCAGTTAAATTATCATGCTGTAGAACTACTATGTACGAAGCATTAGCCTATTTGAGACGAACACAAGCAAATCATACCAACCATCTACTGGGATAGGAAAAGGAGAACAAGAAAGATTCTCATGAAAGAATAATTAGCTCTCACACTCAGTTATATTACTAGCGCATAGAGAAGGACAATAATTAATTACAAGCACAAAAGCAATATATTCTCCGTGGTCTACTTCATTGGTCGTATACCCAGAGTTCCTTAGGTTCTATGGCGCCACTATGAAGTCAAAAGTAATGCCCGTCGAGCTCTATGCCCGGCAACTATCAACAATATTCCTGAGGCGGACGAGCCGTCCTCCGCACCTTAGCATCACCACCGCCTGGCAATGATGCCAAACGAGGTTGATAGTAAGAATTTATGTTAAAACGTAAAGCTTCTGAACTTCGTCACCCCCAAGTAGTCCCGCCGCTTGACCCTAAGAAAAGGGGGAATATAACATCTTGTCATACTCCTAGTAGTCACCATCCTTGTGTACATGTGTCGTTGATGTGGCAGCTGAGTCGAGGAGAGATAAGTGGAGAGTCAAAGGAAGCACCGCTTTGTTCTGTAGTGGTGTTAGGATAGATAACCGAGGACAAGATAACCAGCAAAAACCACCAAATTAACCTAGCCAAACGCCATCCCTGAGATCACCCTCACCGACCATGCAATTGAAAGATCTAGAAAGAGCAGATTAAGCCTGGGGGCCTCTGGTGCGCTTATTCCAGAAAGAACCTCTCGTCTCGCCATGTCCGTTCTTTCGCCGTGACTGTATCTGCTTTCTGACATATTCGGCTCTTTCCCGGCTGGCTGCTTTGACATTCACGGTCCTCTCTTTTAGGTAAGCTTCCGCCTTCGAGAGATAGCGTTGGTATGCGTCCGTCTTCCCCCGCAGTCGAAGCCACCAAAGCTTAGATCTGAGCTGCGCGGAAAGGTAACGTAACGCAACTTCATCGCGGAGGTCGCGTGCCCCTCTCATGAGCTCTAGCTGTACTTGGTGCTGGCGTCGTGCCAGATCGTCATCGTGGAAAGACTCTTTGATTTGAGTGATAACCTGGGACACGAGATGAGAAGGAATACCGAAGACAGCATTGACAATATCTTTGAACCCCTGCAGCAAGACATCTGTGACAGACGATGTTTGGCTACAGACTTGTTTCGACATGACATCTAGAGCCGGCATGTAAGTCTCTTCAACCCACGCCGTTGTCTCGTTGACGGTGTCGACAAATTTCTGCGCGAAGTCCTTGACCAGCTGCTTTCCAGCACCGAGCGCGTCAGTGAACTTGTTTCTGCCGAAATCGATGTGAAAGGTCTCCTTAACCTTAGGCTTCGAGGTTGTGGCAATAGATACGACTAAGACATTGCAGGCCTCCTCTAAAGGTATCTGGATCAAGAAACCCTCGTCTACAGAGGTTACCTTGGTCGGGATATCGTATAAACCACGACTCACGGCAATTAATATGGCGTCTTTTGCGAGCCAGGAAGACTTCACGGTCTGGGGGATTTTTACTATGATCTCGTTTCGACCATGAAGCTCTGCCAAACAGATGGTCTTTTGTTGAGATCGGTTGGCACCGTCCTTATCTTTCCCGAATGTTGTGAAGACGAGGCCGCTTGGTGAAGTACTCGTCTGCAACGCCTTTTGGATTTGCGTACTAGTCAAAGTTGGCGTGGATACAGAAGTTGATATGGGGTTCCCAAAGGGGGAGGGAATGGCCGTGGGGGAAATCGAGGCTATCGGGACGGTGGATAGGACTTTCGGGGTCGGCGGACCGAACAGGAAGTATTTTCCAGTTATGACCAGGGTATAGAAAACAACAAATCCAGAGAGGGCAGTCAAGACACGGTAATTCCCTTGGACAAACCTCAGTGCAGCACGAAAGACTTCTGGGACATAGTCTTCCGGGTCCTCACGTTCAGGAGGAAATAGACGCGCACCGTTTTCTTTGCCCAGTACCATCTCTTGAGAAGGTAACTTGTGGATTTCCGCAAGGGCTTCCCGGGCCTGGCTTTGGTCAATCTCTGCTCGACGTGGTAGACTTAGGATACCATGCTGGGAGAAGTCTGTAGGATGCTCGAGGCTCTGATTTGCCAGTGTTTCTACATCGGCATCTTCCTCGTCGGATTCAACGGCGTATTCGACGACGGTATCAATGACTGTGCTGATTGCGGGGGCTTCATTTAGTGTAGTAGCCTCCTCTTCCCCCTCTTCGTCGTCGGAAGAATCAGTATCGACTTCGTTGGCGTCAACGTCGGTACCGATATCGGTGCCGACGAGGCTCTGAACGTCATCGGTCCTTTGGTAATCTAGGGAACTGGCAGTAGACTCGGCCTGGCTCTCGCCATCGGTACCGATGACGTCGTAGCCTAGCTCGGCCAGGGTGGGGTCATCATCAGGGAAGTTTTCCGGCTGCATAATATCGGGCGAACTAGATGATATCCAGTTGGTAAGTTGCCGGTTACCTAGGGGCCGGGGGAATCGTAGTGAGGGTACGGAGTTAGAAGTATGGTTACTATTGTTCTGACTCGACCTGGCTGCACTAGAATGGGTAGGAGGGTCGGCAGAAATATGGGGAACAACAGTCGGTATATCGGTAGGTGTCGACGGTTCGGGCTGTTCCATTACGCGGTAGAACAAGACACCTTTGGCAGGATCACGTCATACCTCGAGTTTACCGTTGCAATATGGCAAACCAAACGAGGATGGCAGAACACGCGGCAGGCTATGAGCAGACAAATAGGAGGTATTATGGGTCTAGACGAGGTTGTGAGGTGCGAATATCGGTACCAGACAAACAAGCTACCCCAGATAAGTTGGAATCGAGATGTCCAAGTTGCATATACCTAAGAAGATGGACAAGAAAGGGTCGTGCGGCTGAGATGCCTAGACGAATTAAATATGAAAGTGTCAGTTTAGGTTTTTATTGAGCCCTGTGAGATAAGAAGGAAGAGGAGAGATGGAAAGTAGAAAGTAGTGCCAGAGGAGAATACATGTGTAGGGTTTTAAGGGAGCAGACTCCAGGTGAAAGAGGGTTTAGATATCAAGACCGGACAAGAAGTTATAAAACAGTATAACAGAACTGTAAGGACGGGTTTAAGTTAAGGGTAAGAGCAAGGAAATATATGTAAGGCAGCCAAAGACGAGGTGAGACTAATAATATTGTTTCTCGATATGATATCATGTTATGTTATGTTATGTACATACGTACGCACGCTGTAAATGGTTCGTCGGCGGGGTTTTTGCAGTTGCTGGCTGCCTTGCGAGTGGGAGGAGGGGGATAAGAAGAATAAATGGGGGTGAGCAAATGAAGAATTCGGTTGGATGGGTTTTGGATGAATACCTAACCTTACTAGATGTAGGTAATAATAGTAATATAGTAATAATTAGTTGGGTTAGGTAGGTAGGTAGATAATCAAGGAAGTCGAAGTAGTTGAGACTGTGAAAGGCAAGAGTCAAGAGGCAAGAGGCAAGAGGCAAGTAAGGCAAGTAAAGCAGCAAGGCAAGTAAAGCAAGTAAGGCCAAGGCAGGTAAAACTGTGCGAAGCTGCCTTACTGAAACTCAAACCATCTTACGTATTACGGCGCGCGCGGATACACATAGTACCTAGAGGGCATGGAGGGGACATAGAGGGGGCGGGGTATCCTCACCTTAGAGTTTATAGGGAACTTCAGCTAGAACCTGTGTATGTAGTATGTACCGGGGTACATGCAAGTACTATAAGTTCCCAAGGCAAACTATGGGTACTATGAATACCAACGGTACCATGGGGAATCTCTACCTAATATAATCCCCCTAGTGCGACGTGGGCCGGTTCCAAGGTTGCTTAGGTAGATATTCCCGATATTGAAGTATTCTACCTAGGTACCTAAGGTAAGTCAAAGTTGGGCCGTAGACGTTCGGGTAGACTTTCGTATCAACGTGTCGAATTTGGGATACTTATCTAAGGATCCGGTCAAATCTTGTCCTCTAGGTCAGCAGGTGTATGTAATGTCGTATGTGATATAGGATCTAGAAAATAGGACAATCAGAGAAAGTATCAGAGGAAGTAGTACATCCAATGCTTTAGGTCAGGTGGAGGGGGGATCTGCACTAGCGAAACTAGGCACCGTCTACCTTTAGCAGTCTAGCAGTCTAGCAGCTTAGCTGATGCTAAACCCCGCCTGTAGATATTGTACCTACGTAATACCTGGTACAATACAGAAGATAACATAACCAATATGGAAATTCAACTTACCTGTCTATCAGAATTTCTTATCCGAAGAAGAATTGAGTATGTGCTTAGAAGAAAGGTGACGATAGATATGGAAGGGGATCGAAATGTATCACGTTGCAGAATTTCCTTTTTCTGGCGTATCTAACTTCAGGTTGGTGCATCGCCAGGAAGAAGCAGGGCGTAGAGGGGGGGAATAGAGAATAGGGAATACTGGATGTTGTTGATAAGACGCGGGAAATGGGTGGGGGTTCAGACGAGCTGCATCTGCCATGGCCCATCACCTACAGTGCAAGGTACCTTAGGTACTAGGTACAGTACATAACCACCTACATGTACGTTAGGTAGTAAGTCACAGTAGGTATTAAAAGGTCAGAGAAATCTCTGACAGACCAAGATATAATCCACACGTATCGTATCGTTTACAAAGAACGAGATTTTACACCAGAGAATCTCTGGGTAAGACCCAAAACTCTATCTAACCCACCGGCCATGGCCTCGACGCAAGGCTAGGCTTAGGTAGTGAGTGTATCATTACGATCACTATACAATGTGCCGATAATACAATAGCAACCTAACACCCATCACCTATTACAGCCTAGCATAGAATGGGGTTGGGAAACACAACATAGGTACATTCTGAATAACTACAGTTTACGAACAAGATAACCATCCCGTCTGGTAAAGTTCGGTATTATTAATTTACGACACAACGGTTAAAGTCCTCGAAGGATTCCCCCGCTGGTCAAGGCTTTGGTCGTGAGAACCAATGCATGTCGAGTAGATACGTAGGTATGTACCTAGTCTTAGATCAAGTCTATAACCCCTATAACCCCCCCGGACCTTTCCGCTTTTCTGAATTGTAACGACATCAATGGGATATCGCGGTCACTCGAACGCCTTGAACGTGCCCTTCGTCTACCATCCATCGGCCCTATCATTATCATCGTTCCTGGCACCATTACTCTCATTGCCCGTGAACAACACCCTAACTCGCTACACATATTTCCTAAGTCTATATAGACGTGAGTCGACCACCATCCGCCACAGTTGGCTTAGCGTAGCCAGCTAAATAGGCCGACGACGAAGGCGGAGCCTTGATACTTCTGGATGGAAGTATTGGAATCCACCAAATTCAGCTCAGCATAAATGAGCCGTAAGGTAACGCTAGAATATCCCGACGAGCGGGCACGCTCATCTCATCACGCGCCTTGACGTGTCAGGTATTAACTCGAATAAATCGAAGACTGACTAAAAACTGCGCTCTTATAAGTGAAATAGCAACGCCAGCGTTTGCTCTTGCAAAGTGACCGAGAAGCGGAGAAGCGGTCTTATATAATGCTGTGCTTCTTGAAAATCCTCTTTAACGAGTCACTATCGAAGTCTTCGTCGTCAGGAATCATGTCGATGATTCCCGTTAGGTTGGCAAATAAGTCTCCTTGATTTCGGTAGGCAAGGATTGTGGGGACAGCGGCATTGTCGAATTCGATGTCCTCGTAGTGGACTTTGACAAAATGTATTTCGGGATGAGAAGTGACCAGAGGTCGCAGTGCCGACTCAATAAGGCCTGATACTTGACACTATTTATCTGTTTAGTATGCGACGATAGACAACTGTAGAAGAGGAATTGACTAACCTCGTGGTCGTAAACGAATACTACCACAATCGTATCTCTTCCCACTTTCTCAATGGCATCTAGATATCCCAATGCGTCGACACTGTCGAAGCGTCCAAACATCCTCAGGCTCGGGCTTGTTCTCCGGTTACGGATACCGTTCTTAGCTTCTCTCTCGAGCTCCTGTCTTCGCGTCTCCCGCCATTGTTGGAGAAAGGTGTCCTCGTCTTCATCTTCTTCGCTTTCGCCGCTATGCGAGCCAGTAGAACGAGCTGTCTCGCCCTTTCCGAATACAGATTGGCGAGCGGCGCGAACCTTGTTCCGCCACTTATTTTGACGAGCCTGCTCATAGGCACGAGCATCGGCAATGACGCCCTTCACACCAGTGCTACGGCCCGAATCAAAGCTAGGCGGTGGCAGCTTTACTTCGCCTGTTAAATTAGGGACGCGCATAGCTGCTTCTATCTGTGCGTTGCGGTAGCGATCTTCTTCGTCCTCGTCGGAATTATCGGTCTCTCCCCGAGCTTCTTCGCGATCTTCGGGGTGTACTCGTGAGCCGCGATCAGTGTTCTTTTCTAGAAAATCTTGAAATTCTTCCTGTGCAGGAGTAGGGTTAAGGTTTACGTTTTCGGAAGTAGAGGTCATATTGGGCGAGTGTTGGACGAGAGGAGGGGGTAGGAGGATTGATATATGCGATAGGTTTTCAATCGGTGTGGGCAAGACCACGAGTAAGACAAGGAATCTTGTTCCGGGGAGGGGGGTGGTGAATGATGTGGATGGTGCGGATGTTGTAGGGTTTTGGTGTAAGGGAAGGAAGCAGAAAATAAGATAGGATAGGCTGATGTACACAGGGCAACGGCCCAGTAATTTTTTTTTTTTTTTTTTTTTTTTTCAAAAGAAGGGATGGACGACGAGGGTTACTAAGGTTGGCAAAGCAGGCAAGGTTGGATTAAGTTAGGGTCTAGCTTGGAATGCAAGGACTGAAAAAGGAATGCTTCTGGAACAATGTCCAAATCAACTATCAACTAATAGGGAAGGAGGGATAAAAAAGCCCCAAAGCCCAAAAGTCCAAAAGAAAGGAGCTGCAGAGGAAGGGCTACGGCGTGCATCAGGATGTTTCAGACGCCACAATACAGCGCACTTTCGGTTTAGCCTTTATGTGATCAAATGATGCGCTACGTTAGAGAATATGTATTATGTACGATTAAGGTGTCTGTCTAGGTTGCACTAACCCATGCAACTTTGTTTTACAACTTACTAACGTCACCTAGATGATTAGCTTCTTTTTTTACTTATTTTTATTTATTTATTTTTATTTTTTCGAGATATCTTTCCAAGGAGTTGGGATGATAATGGATCGACCAAATCGTCCATATATCCTGATTAGCTGCCAATTGTTTTGATCTAATTGTTCCTTTAAACCATGTGGAAGGATTAATTGCACTGCCCGGCCGCACACGCACACACGTACGCATCCGCTGGATCGGGGATGCGGCGTTGCGTGCTGTCAATACGAGATGCCTCTCTACAAGGATTAAAACGTGGAAGAAGAGGAACAGGGCTGGTCGTGAACGGTCCGTGTCCAGAAGCCTTTCCTTCTTTTTTTTCCTTGTTTATCTTGACTCACGAGAACTATCTCGTTTCTAATCCATACCCTAGGTACCCATGTTTTATGCCTGGTATACCGTATACACTATATATCCCTTGCAACATATTACAACATATAGCATTGTTTGATATGATCAATATTACATTACATAGTGGAAGGGTAGAGCCGTGACAATGGCAAGAAATTTGTATTTTCTTTTTTGAGGGACCCAGCGCCTCGAAGAATCAGCTTCTACCAAATCTAACAAAGCAACCAGTATTAACAAAGGCCTTTTTGAAATTATGTCCGCGAAAATGAGCTGGGGAAGGCTAGTCATGTACAATACGTCACGCTGCCCGTTCTAATAATAAAACATCCGTTGCGGCTTGCAAAGGCTTACAAGGCTTTGCAAGTGAGTGATCATTTGATCTTGCATCGGAGGAAAAATAGTGAGATAACGGCTATTGCATAGAGCGCACACCATCATCTCATGACAACAGTCTTGATAAATGCAAATAGCCTAATGGGATAAGTTAAAAGAGCAGTTACAGAATTATTGGATGCTGCGCAGTGAAACCCCGACAGCATGCTCTATCTATGATCTGATGTTTACCTGATAGAACACTTCTAGAAGCACGATGCCCTAGCAACCAGTAGGAGTAACAAAGACAGTTACCTAGGAGGTAGGTAAGGTAGTTGCTAGCTTGGGGGCGACGGCAAAATGCAGCTGGGGTGTATGTAAGTCGAAAAGGAGGCTGGCTGCTCTGGCTAAAAATAACTCCAATCTTGTCCATGTCGGCTATGCCGACGCTTTGATGGCCTGCCCGAAACCGAAACCAGTAACACCACCTTCATAGCCAAACCACTGCTATGGTATCGTCTCTACCGAGGACAACTATTCTTCTTAATAAGGCGACATGTCTCTCGTATAGCATAGCATCTGGCATATAATCTTATCCTATTCTACTATCGAAATCTTCGAGATAACTTAGTATAACCAGCCTACCTGCTGCTACGATACATTAGGTACCTACTTAAGCCTAAAGACATTACATAGAGCAAGTTTAGGCTTCATCGCTTCGGAAGTGTGAATAACAAGTGAAGCAGGTTGACGGCTGGAGAGTCTGAGTCGCAAAGTAGCGGGTAGATAATCATGTTAGATAAACCATGCAGAATATATATTTCTAGAGTGTACAGTTGAGTGCTGACTAGTTGTTAACGGTCTTCTTCCAACTTCACAAGATTCATAGTACTATAACGATACCAAACGTACTATTTATCTAGGTAGATGTCCCATTTCTCCATAGATATATCATTCTTACCTCGCTCCATATTAGTTTTTGGGCAGAACATATCAACTTGTATATAGACATATCTGATCAGGAGCAGCATTAACGATCTAAAGCAATAGCGAATGAGAGACATCAAGCGTCGGTATTTAAATCATATCCTCATTTATAATAGTACTACGATAATTAAGCTATATGCCTACTAATAAGGCGTAAGCATTGAGTCTAAACAACGTGCTGACAACTGCTAGGGAATATAGACGAATAATAATAATAATCTCTCTCTCTCTCTCTCTAGTTCATAGATACGAGTTCAATATACGTACCTAGGTAAGCCTAAAGCGCTAGGATATTGTCAAGCTACTCTCTCCTATCTGCGTCAACATAGACCCTTTTTATCCTATGGCAAACCCGTCTCACATGTTTAAACAAAGGAGATCTATTCTAAAGAACATCACTAAACAGCGCGGCAACCTGACGATTTTCAATACCAAATTAGTTTTTGGATGATTTCAGCGTTTCAATATGACATGACTATGGTACAGACAGTAAGGGAAGGGCCGGTACGATGCCGGATGCGAATGTGTTCATCTTGCCCCTACTTCATTCAGCTGCACCTAGCCGCTCGATTTCCCTGGTACTAGGAAGGATACGCCGATAAGAGACGACCTCTAAGAAACACCCGTAAGATGACCAGCCACCACTAAAAAAACCCTAAGTTACTGCATATCCTCCCCCTCGCCCCCTTCCACTGGACTCAGTTAAAAAAGTCACCACACTCAAGTGATTTTTCCTTTTATCCACAGAAGAAAAAATGCCAATCAAAACCTCACCCACTCCATCTACTATAGTAAGATCAGGGGCGGGAAAGGGCAATAAACAGGAATCAAGTAGACGCGCAAGAATTGTTTTTGTTTCCGGGTGGAAGCCTCTTTTCATATCAACATGCCTCCACAAAGAGGGGAAAGACTGTATCCGTTTATCGAGTCGCCGAAATTTTTGAACTGAATCGTAAGGGAAAGCCCAAGGGTTCAAGAAGATGCCGCACCTTCGCCTTGTAAATTGAAGTGCCCGGTGTCCAGCTTCGAAGAGCAAGTCGAGCCGAGCGTTGTAAATTAGTACCATTCAAGTCCGAGGCGGTATATTAGCGGACTAGCTGACAGATGCGAATTGGGCAGAGAAATATGATATTATGGAGGTATCTAAAAGCGAACAGGGCCGGGAACTATATACTCCCTTGGCCCCTCAGTCGGCAGCGGCGAACAGTAGTCCGGTGGGAATCGAGTACAACACAGGCCAGTAAGGAAAATAGGTGCTGGGAAAGGCTGTCGTGACTTCGTCCTGATAGCATCGAACCTGGACGATTCGTTATGCTTGGCAGGTTGAAATTAATTCGAAATATTCATCTGAAAAAGGAGAGCAAGAGATACGCGAGCGATCCGCGTAAATAATGCTCCATCTCGACGTGGATTTCCATCTAGTATGCCCAGATTTTGAGCTGCTATACGTCAGCATACTTCGAGCGATATAAGCAACACGCGACCGAGACTTACCACGGAGTCCCAAGAGCCTGTGCACAGGCTGATACCGTCGTTGCTAACACCCAGACAGCTGACACGATTCTCGTGGCCTACAAGAGATCCAACCTTCTCTCCTCTGGTGATATCCCACACCTAAAAAAATAACCGTTAACCTGCGAACTTCAAGTTGGCGGAGCGATCCAATATTTACCTTGCACTCGAAATCGTCATATCCAGCGAATAGTAGGCGGCCAGAAACGGAAGTAGCAACGGACGTGATACCGCATAGAATAGATTCAGACTATAGCCATCTTAGTTAGTATTCGCTAGACCGGCGATATCCTTTTCCCAGCCACTTACCCCGTAGAGATTGAGCTCCCTATCCGCTCGAATATCAAATAGTCTGCACGTTGCGTCGTCAGACCCTGTTACGAACGAATGGCCATCCGGGAAGAATTGAATGGCGTTGATATCGGATTCGTGACCAGCGAATGTCTGCACGGCCTTGCCGGCACGAATATCCCATAGCTTCGCGAAAGCATCGCAAGCACCGGATATGAATGTGTTTTGATTCGTAGGGTTCAGGCTGATGCTCATGACGTCGCCCAGGTGGTCCGCAAACTCCATGACCTTAGTTCCAGTCTCGATATCCCACTTCATGCAAGTCATATCACCTGACGATGTAAGAATGCTCCGGTCGTTAATGAACCGGCAGCAAGATAGATAGCCAGCGTGGCCGGATAGCTCACGGGCAACGCGCGTCGGCCCATCTCGGTTCTGGTTGAGATTGTAGATAGAGCAGATGTTATCGAGACCACCGCAGGCAACATAATTACCGCTTGGGGCGTAAGCGCAGGTCATGACCCATGATGACCGTAGGGGGATAGCGTGGACCTTGTTCGTCGTGTACGCATCCCAAATAATCAACTTGCCGTCTTGCGAAGCAGATACCAGATGTCTTCGGTCAGTCGACCAGTGCATAGCATATATCTTTGCCAAATGACCCTTCAGTGTCCTCTTTGTCTTCATTAATTGATTTCGGGGAATTGCTTCGTGAGATTGCTGTGCCACGGCGCGGACTAAAAAGTGAGGGATAGAAGTGTTAGGAGCGCATCAATTGTAACGCGTTTGCAAGGGCCGGGAAAGTTGTTCAATTGATGAAAACGGATTACTTACGGGTGGTGTCGGCCAGCTCATCCTTCTTTCGCTTGATCCTATCCTTCAAGTTCTCAGCCTCGCGTCGCGCCTGCTGAATGCGCGCCTGCATTGCCTCGGGCGATACATCGTTTGGACGTTGATTGTCCATGGCGGCGGCGGCAATGGGTGTGCGTCAAGGAGAGGGCCGAGGAGTAGCGGAGGGGGAGGAGGGAGGGAGAGAATTGGATGGACGGTGATAGACGACGGGTGTCGTCAAGCGGTGTGGATAGAGTTGATGTTGGAGATCGCGAATAGCGTAGAGAACACCGAAGGGGGTAAAAAAGAAAGAAAAGGTGTGAGGTTGGAAATCAACTCGGGGTAAGGGTGAGAGAGGGAAGTGGTAAGCTCCAGGGGGGACCTTGTCGTAGTGCTCTGACCAGTATTAAAAGGGTTAAAAATCAAAATAAAATAAAGCTCCGGCTAGGCCACACTCGGAGATGTAGAAGAGATTGACTTAATTGTCAGGGCCGAAGAATGAAAAAAAAAAAAAAAAAAAAAAAGTGTGGAGAGAGAGAGGACAGAATAGGATAAGGACCACCAGCGGGTAGTAATTGCTAGGTAATCCCTAATTGTTAAGCTGCTAAGTTTGTTACGTAGAAAAGAATAGGTACCTATCATACGCCTTCGGATTTTAGAGATTGGAAAAAAAAAAAAAATAGAAAGAAAGCAGCAATCTGGAAGGAAGTACTACTGCTGCTGTAGGAGTAGGAACAGGAAATAAATGAAGGTCAGGTAAGCTAAGTTAAGCCTAGGTACCCTGAGATAGCGAATGTACATACATGCGTCAAAATTTATGTGGGGATCTAGGTGTATAGGTGTACTAATTTGTATGCAGACTGGTACTACAATTCTAATTCCCTCCTTTGCGACCTCCCTTCTCGCGATTGCACGAATTTATGTACCGTCTTATGTGTATAAGCTAATGCAGATCGCGCCGCCCGAACAAACATTAAGCATATGTATATATGTACCATACCTTACCTATATTATTTTAGCTATGAAGATATTGTCTATATTAGGTAGGTACATGTGTATGCTACCTCTTTTATTTACGTGATCGCCTTAGTTAACATACTATATATGTACCTACATTACCTCCATTAGATCTAAATGGAAGTGAAGACATTAGTTGTCGTAAAGAAAGGGAAAACCTAAACCGGCACAAATGTATATATATATATACCTATATATAAGGTAGGTTGCGTGCGATGTGGTAAGCGACATGCAACCACCAAATACCGAGCAAATGTAAAATAAGATTCGATGGATATAAGAGTGCCTACTTACTTCCCAGGCCGCGCTGCAATTCGCTAAAAGGGGGAATAATAGGACTGACTAATAAGGCATCCTATTCGCTCCGACAACTAATTACGCCGCATACGTGTGCGTAAGTAAGCGCTCGGGCTTTGGTACTTTGATCTATGTACTTTTCTGGCTTTGCGGAACGGGCAATTAAATACTCAGCAGTTATGTAACGCGAACCTTATTATGTACTTTGCGCCATACCTACCAGGGAGATACGAAGTACATAACCTAGCATAACCTAACGTAATGTAATAGGTGCCTGTCGACTTCTTTTAATTCTTCACCCTTTCCAGGTTTTCTCTCCTCTAAATTGATGCTTTCCTCTCATCAGTCAGTCTACGTAAAGATTTTACTCACTCCAACAACGTATATAAGTCGCGAAAATATTATTATTCAGACAACATACTTAAGTACCAGGTACGCAATGCATCTCAGAAAAAAACCTTGATTCAGTAACTTGGCCAAGGGGATTTTGAAATCATGTCTACCGAATAGATAGATCTTACCAGTGCTTACCATCCTCGTGTTCTCACCAATCCGACCAGCTAGTTTATTTTATTGCATTTGACCGGAGACAGGATATCAAGCAAGTCGGCAAGGCTTAGGTAGGCTTCTACAAGCAGTATAGTACTTCTACCTATACGTCCCCTTTGTGACCAAAAGTCTTAGGATAGGCACATAACATCATATATCATGGATCCCACCTAATACCCTTTGTTTTTCCTTTGTCTTTGTGCATATGAATGTACTAGCACGGTAGAATCGAATTGATAAAAGAAAGAAAGGGAAAAAAAAAACGGTATAGGTTCGGGTTTTCGAAGATGGTTATACTATTTACCCCCCAACTTATTAAATTAGCCTCGCATGTAATTCTACGCTCGCGGCACAGCAGACTAATCCAAGCCCAATAGTATATGCTGTCGTTATCACAGCTTTGCTGCGAGAGCAAGAAATCATACATACCTTTCTTATTGCGGCCTTTCAAATACGGATACCTATACTACCAGAATCGTCCCTGGCCCGTGCCCTAGCCGCATTAGCCTTGACCGTCTCGTTAACGAGGCACTCTCGATCCTAGCCTATGCAAGGTACTGGCTTGACTTGAAGACATCAGACCCGATAATGGAACCCCTCCCCAGCTTTCCCAACTCCCACTGTAACCCAGTTTGCCAGCTTCCCAAAAACAAAAAGGAAGACATTCTCATAAGATGCGTGGTATGAATGTATGAATGTATGAATGGCTGGGGTTAACTCGGTTATTTGTTCCGATCCCGTACAAAGGTCTAAACATGCAGTGCTTATTTGAGCAACGAGATGAGGAAAAAAGCCCGAGGCAAGCATTTAAACGACACTTTTAGTTGCTAGTGACACCGCTTCGTCAAACATTGCACATTTCGAAGAACTCCGGCCTTGCTTTGATAAGGCCGTTGAACGGACCGCTTACTACGGAAACGTACATGCCGTGATGGGTCGGGGGGATCTGATATTTATGCAGACGGAACTTCTAGAAGGGTTACTCGATGGGAATCTGACAAGCCTCATTCGGATAGACAATCTTTTAAACACTGTGTATCATTGCGCGTGATTATTGATGGGCATTGCTACCTGACTTGACATCATGTGGGTGATATAACACAGGCAGCTAGCTACCTGTTACTAGCGACAAAATACTAAAGATATTACAAGTGTCAAATCAGAACCTATTTAAGGCTTTGATATTTGTTGATATTTGATATTATAATATAAACTAAGTCGAATATCAAATACCAAGTTACTGTGTGGTTTTTACTTAATGAGGGGCTCCGTCGTCGGTAGTCGACAGCTAGCTTGTGCTTGTCTGATCACAAAAAGCTCCAGCTACATACAAGTCTTCGCCGCTCACCAGCGATCAAAGTACGACATTTTGACTCGCGCGGCATCATGGCTCAAGAACTAGAGTTAGACTTCAAGTTCATGCCTAAAATTGAGGTAATCAGACCAGCTTCGGACACATTAATTGAATTATATTAACTCTTGCTTCGTTAATGATAGCTTCATGCCCATCTAACCGGAAGTATAAGTCGGCAATGCCTGCACGAGATATGGGAAGTCAAAAAGGCAGCCGCCGAGACGGATCTCGAAGACCCTCTCGTCGTGATGCCGCCGGGTAGACATGATTACGACCTGACAACGTAAGAAACCAGCCTAGCCTAGCATAGCCTACCTAGTCCTAGAGGGACGACAAACGCGTAGTCATTTCCCCCCTTTGCTATGAGGAGCTAAAAGCTGAGGTCATCTTTCTCTAGCTTCTTCCCGCTCTTCTCATCCTACATCTACAACCTAATCAACGACGTCCCCTCCCTCGAGCTCTCCACCCGCTCCGTCGTGCGTGACTTCGCAGCCGACGGAGTGGTGTATCTCGAGCTGAGGACCACACCCCGCACGATGCCCGCCGCGGGCCTAGATAAGGCAGGCTACGTGGCGGCGGTGCTGCAGGCGATAAGCGAGGAAGAACAAGCGCTAGCGCAGACTCTCCACGCCCGGCTCATCCTCTCCATCGACAGGCGCAATGTCCTCGACGAAGCGCTCGAGGTGATCGCACTGGCGAAGCGGTTCCGCGACCAGGGCGTCGTAGGCGTCGATCTGTGCGGCGACCCCACAAAGGGCGATGTGGCGCTGTTCACGCCTGCGATCGAGCAGGCCAGAGCGGCCGGGCTGAAAGTCACAGTCCATTTCGCCGAGGCGGAGGCCAGCGCTGGAGAGGCTGAGCTGCGCACCATTATGAGCTGGACGCCGGATCGGCTGGGCCACGTTATCCACGTCCCGGAGACGGTCAAGAGGCAGATTACGGCGCGAAGGGGGATTGGGCTGGAGCTTTGTCTCAGCTGCAATGTCCACGCCAAGATGATCATTGGTAGTTTCGAGGCGCATCATTTTGGGGAGTGGTGGCGCGTCGATGGCCCGGTTGTCGTACCTTGTGTAAGTTTGAAGCGCTTGGACTAAACCGACTTGCATACGGCTGGCGGTAGGCTGACTAGATTACCAGACTGATGATGTGGGCGTTTTCGGAAGTCCGCTGTCGAACGAATGGAGGCTTATCCAGGAGCACTTTAAACTACGGCGAGAGGAAATCCTAGGATTAGCGAGGATGGGTATTGAAGTCATTTTTGCGAATGATGACGAGAAGGCAAGGCTGAGGGAGATCATGTGGTGAGGGAAGTTTCTAAACATGATAAGGGGTATCTTGAAGGAGAGGTGAATTTCTAGTGATTATACAGGCTATTCACATTTCAATCGTCTTCTTTTCGTTAACTAGGTAGTCTAGGTAGCTACCTAGGTTCCCTGAAGTTGTGTCCCTGGTTTTCCGCCTATTACTGAACCTAGACCTAATATCTATTGAATAACTCTTCCCCTTCTTTCTCGTGAAGTCTATTATTCCATACCATCTTAGTCGTGTGCTGACGCCCATTCTTGGAACCAAGCCAAAGATTCAGGATTCGCAACACTGGTATTTGTTTTTATGTCGATTCCGGAGAGAATCTGTTTGACTGCAACTTCGATTCTGGTTGGACATTAGCTGATATACTTTAGAACCTAAGAATGAGATATAATAAAAGCGTACTTCTTCCCGTTTAGCGTCTTCGGGACTCCCGCTCCGCATTCTTCGATCACAGCAGGGACATGTCGTGGACTTAATTCTTTCCGTATCACGCCTCTAATCCGTTCCTGTAGCTCAGGGGTGAAGTTGTTCCCTCCAGCCATGCCAACAAACAAGCAGACAGTTTCGTCGCGGTCTGTCTCCCGCCTTCGACCAACACATACTGCATCTTCTATCTCACTCCCGAAAAACTTGGTCAGCAAGTTGTATATCTCGGCGCTGCCAAATCTTACACCACCAGGCTTTAGGACACCATCACTTCGCCCCAACATAATAATACCGCCCGTTTTGGCATTCATGCGCAGGAAATCACCATGATGCCATATGCCATCGAAGCGTTCGAAGTAGCTTGCACGGTACTTGGCATCGCCTCCAGGTCCCCAAAAGGTCAGAGGTTGAGAGGGAAACGGCTTTACGCACACTAGCTCTCCATTTCCGTCAGGAATCGGGGTGCCACTGATAGAGTCTACTACATCAATGGCCATACCAAGCGCGGCACATTGAATTTCGCCCACATGGACTGGAAGTAGCGGACATGGGAGACCAAAGCAGGAAATAATATCAGTGCCACCGGTGATAGATGCTAGATTGACATGAGCGGGGAATGCCTTATAAACGAAGGAGAATGTTGACGGCGGCAAGGGTGCGGCTGTTGAGTAGATTGCCTGTAGGGAAGAAAGATCGAGTGATTGAATTGGATAAACCGAGTTCGTCTCGAGTGTTGTCAGATATGCGGCAGAGGTACCGAAGTGGGTTGCCCGTAGAGAAGAAAGAAGTCGGGGTAAAGAGAGATAGCCGTGCGGTTTGAAGGGCGAGCCCGAGTAGAGAATCAGGGTTGTGCCGCAAGAAAGAGCTGATATACTCCAATGCCACATCATCCACTATAGCAACGAGTATTAGAAAATGACTTCTTTATAATGTAGTCGAGGCAACTCGAGCCTGCCACCAGAACCCGAATGTCTGCCGATTTGGATTAAGCGTGTTTTTTTTTAGGAGTAGGTCTGAAAGGGGGTGAAACTAGTTTTGGACGATAGGCACATACAGATGTAGTGGTATAGTAGAACAACCGAGAAGTCGAATTGAGCGAGGAATGGAGGAACAGCTCCTTCTTATGTTGGATCAGCGTACCTAACGCCGAGTGAACTATGGCTTTTGGCAAGCCCGTAGTACCACTAGAAAATAAGACATAGAGAGGATGCGAGGGCGGAAGTTGTTCGAATTTCAGGGGCTTGTTACCGCCGCTGTATGATGTTAATATCAACGGTGCTAGCTTTTGGAGTCTTTGCCGGGAAAATACCTCTTCAGAAAGCTTTCGTATTCCTTAGCTACTATTCCTTTCGAGTCCAGTTCTTCTAGACCTAAGTCGAAATCTGGGACATTATTTATGACGACGACAAGTTCCAAACCCTTGGACTTGAGCTCATCGACTACTTGTGATATCTTGTCCGTACCAATCCATGATTTACCATTGTACACAGTTCCGTTATCTGCGAACAAGACCTTGGGCTCAAGCTGAACCAACCTATCCAAGACGGCGCTTACTCCGTTATCCGGGCTTATTCCGGTCCAGCTGATATATATAAAAAAAGTGTATTGTTAGCATTTTCTACTCTCGTTCGTTTCTCAAATATGTAAGGCGTTGTTTTCTGAAAATTGGTTGCAAGGGAGCTATGATGTTTTACTCACTGCCAGAACGTTAGCTACCTCTTATTGGTAATGTCATATAAAGCATGCGATCATTTTGAGAAGTACAGAATTAAAATCTCGACGGGACCTAACATAAATTTATACGTACCACGGCTCCGATGGCGGCTGCGGATAACATTGCTACGAGAGCTTGGTGGTGATTTGATACGAAGCCGGCAACAACATTTTTAGGCTTCAAGCCGGCCGCCCTCAAGCCGTTGGAACATTGTCGTACTGCTTCTCGTAGTTCAGCCCATGTCGTCGAAACAAGCTGTTCCTCAACTTCAGTAACCGTTATAATTGCAGTTGAGGACTCGTCAACGTCCGCATTCTCCGGGAATAGGAGGTTCTCCGCAAAGTTCAATAGTGTGCCGGAGAAGAAGTCAGGTCTAGGAAACATAGACGCATTGTCCGGTAAAACCTATCGAGTGTCAAGTTAAGCGTTTTGCGAACCTGATAATCTGATAAATAGGGGTAAATTTTGTTATAAGTTATCTAGGTTAGACCTCTAATATTTGGAGGATTTTGATGATGTTGAAACACATACACGCGAGTAAGGCTTAGATGCTTTTATGCCACAGAAGTTCCATACTTCCTCCCAGAACTCCGTGATATTGTCGACGGACCACTTGTGCAATGTCGGATAGTCTTTGATTTCGGGGTCATATTTACCCCTTACATGTTCTAGGAACTTGTACATCTGAGTTGAAGTAGGATTTGGATGTCGCCATAATTCGGTTGGTTGGGATATAGAGTCAACAACCATTATGGATATATGGAAACCCTTATTGTTATTATGGTTACAGATGAAAGGCTCAATTTGAAGAATCGTGACGGTATCTGAGCAAAGTGTAAGAATGGGTTTGTTGAGTTTACGATGGCTGAGAATGCTTTGCTTATTCACATAAATGCATAAATGTAGGCACTTACAAGGTTTACCTACATGTACGTAAGGTTAAATAAATTCTATTGAATAGGTTGTGGCTGGTGAATGCGTATGTGCCTTACGTTGGGGAGTTACAATGTCTCCGAGCAGCGCGAACTACCTCCAACTGAAGCAACCGGCCTATCTACGATACTCTGGCAGAGGGTATTAGTATATTGTGAAGTTTGCGTTACGGGAAATAGTGCATTCATATACTATAGTACATATTCCTATGTAAGCATTGTAAGATCGGTATGCATTGGCCTGTAATTGGTCATTCTAACGATCCTCAAAGTCTCATCGGGAATAAAGTTCAATTTAAGCGCGTTACCTGGTCCCTCTGTGCGACCTTCTCTAATCCTTTGGATGGCACTGTGTGATAGGTACCTACCTACACCTACCGGGTTTCCATAAGAGCAACTACCATAGCGACGATATCGATCCCCGCCTCTACGCATCGTCATGTAATCTCGATCATAATATGCAACGAGTTAACGAACCAAGTCCTTACTATGTATACCTACGTATTTACACGCATAAGGCAATTTTATGTAGTAATGACAGATGGAATCATGGATCCTTCATATACCGGCCGAGCCCGGCCACGATCATTGCTCCGCTTGCTCCGTAACATGGTCATAAAACCAATTGACGCCCTGCCAAGCTGATAATGGCGTGGTCTAGAATGAAAATGCGGCTAGGGGTAATTTCGTGACAGGCACCATTCCGAATGCCAGGTAATGCGTGTGATCACTTTGCAGGAAATAGTAAAGCGAGAACGATAAGAACCAAAAATTTGCCAAAAGTCGACTTAATTGGTACTTGAAGCTCTTGAAGAGTTGGAATAGAGACCACCAGCGTGATTCAATTCTATAGATTGTAAGTCCTAGGTACCGAGGCATTTCAATATCACTAATAAGTACCTAAGGTACCTAAACTTTAGCAGGTTTTGTTAGCTGAGTCTAGCACCTAGCTGTCGAATAGATGCGGACCTCAACTCGCATTGTGGGGAGCGGATCCGTCGGAAGGAAGATGGGAAAATTCAGGAGCGTTAGGTACCTAAACCTTAGGTACCCTACCAGGTTAGGTACTAACATTAAATGTTTCGCGAGAAGGCGAAAATTGTCCGGTAACTTGGAGATTACCTAGATGTAACAACCCTAGTAGACGTTTATTACGGAATTGCGGGAAAGACTTTCTGTCCGATAATTGAGGTAATCAGAATTAAATCTGAGCAATATCACGTTAGTGCCTTGACTGGCCTGTCAGCCCTGCATGGGAGGCCCGTGGCGATCGATCCCGTAGTAAGGTAAAGTTTTTGTGAAACTTGTAGTTTAGCTCCGTCATGTTGTATCTAGGTAAGTACCTAACCTAAGACGGTCAGGTCGGTTGTGATGGCTGAATGGCTGACCAATAACGGCATTAACTACCGTGTTAGCTAACAGATTCACACTACGAATCGTAATTTAGATCCACATTTTGAAACTCTGCCATCTAAATCTAAAAGTTGCTTCTCGCGCGCCTCCTAAATTTAATCTTCTTCCTCTTTGTCTCCTTCACCTCGTGCACCTCTCTTTCTTCGTCAATTTTTAGAAAGGTGTTTTTGGTGTTGAGGGTAGCTGTCGTCGCTGTCGAACCGAGGGAATATTTTCCCTCAATTACACTCCTTGATTTAACGATATCAGCCGTCGCCTAATTGAATTCCACCCCCTTTTAAAGGGTTTAATCAACAGCTCTCAATTCACTTACTCTGCCGGCCTATCCGTGAAATCTTCGGGCGGAAACAACAGCACCCTTTTAGAAGAAGACCACCAGTGCAAAGGACGCAATCTCGGGAAAAGGGTATTGTAAGTTGGATTCATCTAACCATGTTTTAATACCTTTGTATTATTATCATTATTATTATATTTCCCCCCCGTTACGCACAGTCAAGCACAGACGAGGCGAGGCATTGTATGGTACGAATCAAATCCATCGAGTTTCCACTATCGATCTCGTTTCGTCACAAAACTTTATAAACTCCGATTGCTTATCGGGCTACTGTCAGCTATGTACTGGACCTTTACACAGCTATGCTATTTGTTTCCATCTTCCCGTTTAACCTCTAATGGAGTCTACTGGAAACAAATACCACCACGGCCTCCCCTTGACGGACCACCGTTACCGTGTGCCCTCTTAGCTTGACAATTCAATACTAGTAGCTTTTTTTTTGGTTGCACTTAACGCGTTTAACTAACAATCTGTTTAGATTCGCACACCGTAGACCTAAACTCCGGGCTTATTTTGCAATCATTTGTTCCTAAACCACCGCCCGAGTATATATCCTTTACTATCTTCTACTACCTATAGAAATGCCACGACGTATCTCAATTCCCTTTACTTCAAGCAGTATGCCGCATGCAGAGAAGACGGGCGAGAGAAGACCCTCGCAATCTCGAGGGAACCGCCTGAGCCAACTCTTCTCGTCATCCCCTAAAGCTAATCAACAGCCATCTGCCCAGCAAGCCCTGATGGCCATGCAGAACGGCTCTAGCCCGTCTATTACGGCTCCGGGTTTGGCACTGCCTTCTATTTCTCTTTCTACAGCTACTGCAGGCGAACTCAACCAAGATGAGCCACCGACTACTCTATTCCAGCCTCCTTCCTCCACCGAAATATCACAAAAGAAGCGCTTTGACGCTCAGTTCGGGCCGTTGGTAGACCCAAATGATCGCTACGTCAGCAAACACCACGGCGAACCTCTGGAAGCCCCTGTCATTGACGAACCTCCATATTATTATGTCCTGACGACCTATATCAGCTACCTACTTCTGCTCGCTCTCGGCCACATCAGGGATTTTTTCGGCAAGAGATTCAGCAAAAAACAAACCTACAAGACTCTCCGTGAAGTTAATGGCTACGCACCCCTAAATGACGATTTCGATAGCTTCTACACTAGACGACTAAAGATGCGCATAGATGATTGCTTCGCAAGGACTTCTACTGGCGTACCTGGCCGATATATCAACGTCCTAAACCGTGTTTCGGATGACTTCAATGAGACATACAGGTATACTGGAGGTGCAACAGAGACTCTCAACATGAGCTCGTATAATTATCTGGGATTTGCACAATCTGAAGGTCCTTGCGCTAATGCTGTCGAGGAGTGTGTAAAGCAATATGGTCTCAGCTTCTGCAGTCCTCGCGCTGATTCGGGTACTTCTGATCTCGTCTGTGAAGTTGAGAAAGAAATCGCGTCATTTGTTGGAAAGCCAGCTGCCATGGTTTTCTCTATGGGTTTTGTCACAAACGCTAGTTCTTTCCCTGCTCTTGTTTCCAAAGGCTGCCTGATCATATCTGATGAGCTGAACCACGCATCAATCCGACTCGGTGCTCGTCTTTCCGGTGCTGTCATCCGTTCCTTCAAGCATAACAACATGCTGGACCTTGAAAGGAAATTGCGAGAGGCCATTGCCCAGGGCCAGCCTCGAACTCACCGTCCTTGGAAGAAGATTCTTGTCGCCGTTGAAGGACTCTACTCTATGGAAGGCACTATGTGCGATCTACCCGGTATTCTCAACCTTAAAGACATCTACAAGTTCGCCCTCTATGTCGATGAAGCACACAGCATTGGAGCTCTTGGCCCCAAGGGACGTGGTGTTTGTGACTACTTCGGTATTGACCCGAGCAGGGTGGATATTCTAATGGGTACTCTTACGAAATCTTTTGGTGCCAACGGAGGTTATATCGCGGCTGAGAAGCACATCATCGAGAAGCTGAAGAGTACCAACTCCGCTACCATGCTTGGAGAGTCTCCCACTCCGGCTGTCCTAATGCAGATTCTGGCTTCGCTGAAAATCATTAGTGGCGAGCTTGTTCCCGGCCAAGGCGAGGAACGCCTGCAGCGTATTGCATTCAACTCCCGGTATCTCCGCCTGGGTCTAAAGCGCCTGGGCTTGATTGTGTATGGCCACGATGACTCTCCTATTATCCCCGTCACTCTGTATAACCCTGCCAAGATCTCCGCCTTCAGTCATGAGATGCTTAAGCGTAGGATTTCGGTGGTTGTTGTTGGTTACCCTGCTACTCCGCTAATTAGCTCTCGAGCGCGCTTCTGTGTCTCTGCTGCACACAACAAGGACGATATGGACCGACTTCTAGCTGCTTGCGACGAAGTTGGAGATATCTTGCAGCTGAAGTTCTCGACAGGTATTGCCGGAGGCCTCAAGCCTTTACCAGAAGATACCTCAGAGAATGAAAAGAAGGGACATGGGGCTAAGAGACCCAAGGTCGTTATCGAGCCACCTCGATGGACTCTCGAGGAGGTTATCGCTCGTGGTTCAGAAGATGCCAAAGTGAGATTAAGATAGAATAATTGGGCATCTCACAGTTGCAAATGTGAATAACTAGCGTCGAGGAGTTTTCTCATGTATGGGAACGACAATATCTCAAACTAGGGCGCCTCGGAGTTAATAGACGGCCTCGTGCCGGTAATTGGTTGTGGATTTGGAGGTTGGGCCCGCACTCGCTTTACAGATGAACCTTGGTTCACTTCATCCCGGCTGGTATGTCAAAGGGGCGAGCGAGGCTGAATAATTCCTGTTTGCTGCAGGCATCGGAAGACAAAGATACCCTGACGCTGTACTTATTGTATTGCCACCCTTGGCCTCGTCCCTTGTGGACTTGGCATTAATAGTATTCGGTAGGAATACGAATTCACTCGTTAGACTGTGTTCGATCATCTGGACTGTGAACTCGATCAATTGTGTGTGTATTAGGTAATGTATGTTTATGGTATGGTAACGTTGGCTTATATATTAGGTAGGTGTGGAGAATTTCTCAAGATATTCTTGGGTACTATGTATGTCTCTTATTGGGTAAGTAGACTTGGTATCAAGCCAGGTACCTAGCTAGGATTTTTGAATGTTTTGGGTGAATTGTAAGTTGGGGATAGCCTCATCATAAGTGTGTGTGTGTGTAAGTGTGTGTATAATTAGCATTTCGAAGGAACCGCTATTCCTCCAGATTTGGGCTGATTCTATAAGTTGAATACTTGGTAGCTACCTAGGTAAGTAGATAGATGTGCCTCGATATATATGCCTGCCTTAATGAGAAGTATCTTAAATTGGTAAAGTGATCAATTATGGGCGCCATCACTTGGAGACTAATACGAATGGAGCAGTCAGTTTCTTTCAGAGTAATGATACAGTAATGCGGCTGACAATATAGAGTCTTTGAAGGCTTGTGATGTCTACGTAGATTGAACTTCGTACCTAAGGTAACTATCAGGTCCATGTTGATCTGATGTCACACAACTTCGAGTTCTCCAGAGCTCTACCTACCAGCTTATTATAATGCTCAACTTGGAGAAGTGCCGAGATTCCGTAGGTTGGGAACAGGTGGGATGTTTCTTCTACATAGTATGTACAATACATACGCGGGGATAACATATACTATGTAGGTTAGAAGATTAAAGATGATAGATCATGAAAGGTTTCGTGCCGCCGACGTGGTCCAAGCGAATGCGACGCCAACCTACCTAGACGTTGGTTACGTCCAATGATTTATGATGATATCTAACCGTCGTCGTTAACCCTCTGGTCCAAGTGCTATGGTTAGCTTAAGCTTGTTAAGCGGATATTTCCGCAAATACAGAGATAAGGGTTACTTTTTTTTTCGCTCTTCTTTTCTTCTTTGATCTGATAGATCGTTTTTAAAGGGAAGTAATTATAAAATGAAATAAAATGGTAATAATCATAGTAATAACATATGATTTGTTATTAGAGCTTTTTTTTGAAGCATGTCTCTCTAAAGGTATTTATTATACCTGGTAGACCTCGTATGGACGCCATAGACGCCGATGATATAGGTACTCAAGTACCTAAAACTATACTTAGTACAGATGTCTTGAATTGGTGGTCGAGACAAAAAAAAAAAGGGGACCCATCTAATCCAACCTGCGGAGACTACCTAGCCAGGAAACGGGTTAAAAGATGCAGAAGGGTGGAATGTCGAATGCATAGAAGAGGACAGGGTAAGAGTGAGAAAAAAAAAAGGCGCTAACCAGCGGCTACATGTACCCAGCTAGGCTCTCTCAGGTACATCATCCGACTATTAGAAACACCGGGCACTTTATGTACAGTTACCACGGGGGCTGTGTACCCCTTTTATTTATGCCGTGCATCTTTTAGGCGGTACAGCAGCACACAGGTACATTATTTTTTTTTATTTTTTTATTTTTTTCATGTACTCACGTATCACCGTATATGTAACTAAGCTGCTACATTAGGTTATAAGGTACTGTACTATGTACATACACTAGGCAGGTTTATAGGCAGGCGTATGTTAGGTTTAGGTACAATGGATAGGTACTAGTGTATCTATATGCAGGATAGCGTACACAGATAGTACAGGTAGTGGACACAAGGAAGGAGGGACGGGGATGAGGGACTACCAGGAACAAGAACTTGAGGAATTGCGAGCGGGACCCAAAGGCAAAGCGCTGGGCTTTCTACAACCTCGAATCAATTCGTTATTAACAACCTCTCCAAGTCTCCAAGTCCGCACTGCAACCACTTGCAACAACAGCAGCTCTAGCCTCTAGTCTCCGACTTTACCCTCTAAAATCACCGCCCATTTCGAACTATACAGTACTACTATTCTTACAACCGGGTTTCTCTCCGTTGTAAACAATTCCCCATACTTCCTGCTTCCGACAACTGTTTCGACGCATCGTTGTATTGTATTATATTGTATTGTATTAAGGTGGACTCTTCCGGGGGGGTATAGTAAGGGAACAAAGTCTTTGGTAGCTCCTTGTCAATTAGGCGCGCGGGTTCTGCAAATCTCGTCTTTGAATCCTCTTAGACCCTGTTCGACCGGAGAAAGAGAAAGAAGCAAAAAGGGTTTCGAGACGTGGACAACGTGCAAGGACGATAGGACCTAAATAACGCCACAGTCTCAAATTATTTCTTGCTATTTTGCCTTGCTTTTCTTAGCAAGCGTCCACGATGAATTTCGACTCGGGCACCGCCTATGCGGAATCTGACGCCGACGATGAGTACGAGAGGAGTCTTCATACCAGTTCGCCCGTCCTCGCCACCGACTCTGAGATCTCCCCAACCGATTCCGACGGCCGATCCTCCACCGAACACACTCCTACTACCTACGGACATCGTAGTCGCGCCGACAGGTTGCCCGAAACAATAATATCCGAATGGGACGCGGAAGAGTGTGCCGATTTTATTGCTAGTATAGGATTACAGCAATATTCTGATCGATTCCTTGGTAAGCCCTCCCGCTATGTGTATATGGTCATGGAACGTCTATGCAGCCTTCTTTATCAAGTTTGTCGTTCTAACATAAGGTTTAGAGAATGAGATTGTGGGCGAGGCTTTGGTGGCATTGCTACACGATGACCTCAAAGCTATGGGAGTGACCAGTGTCGGCCACCGATTGACGATACTTAAAAGTGTCTACGACGTAAAAAAGGCACAAGATGTCCCTATAGAGAGCGATCACTATGTGCCACTCTGTATGCCGCATTCTTTCTAACCCCCCTACCCTCTGCGCATTTTCCCGCGCATATCATGTTAATCGTTGATTGACCTGCTAACCTCGCATATAGCTGCCGATGCCGAAGCCCAGTATGCTACCGCGACCCTTAAAGATATTAAGAACCTAGTCGAACAGCTCCGCCTCCGAGACGAACGGATGAGCTTTTTGGAACAAGACTTGCGACGGATGACGGATGACTTCAGACGGCTGCGAGAAGATATGTTGCCGGCTTTGCGCCTTGCTAAGGACGCGCAACAGCCATTGCCACACCTATCTAACAACCAGGGAGGAGGTTACACCTATGACGCTTCCACAGTCTCTCCTCCTGCTCCAACCTCAGCGTCGAATCAATCGACGGGCGGTATTAAACGTCAGTACTCTACTAAGAAGATTGTTCTTAGTACGAATCCCAAGAGCGTATCCCCTACTCACTTACAGACCACTCACGAGCGGCCCTCTGTAGAACAAACTCTAGATCCCGCTGGTGCCGCTGAGAGAGCCGTAATGTCATCATCCCTTCTAACTGCGATGAATGGCTCTGGCCAAGCTACTTCGCCCGGTTACCCCCCAAATATACCCTCACCTACCTCACCCCCGAATTTAGGTAGCACCACCCTCGGCTCCCGGTCGTATCGCTCTGATGACCGCCAGACGCCGTCTAATCGCACTACCTTCTCGGAAAGTGAGTACGGCCATAATGCGAAGCAACCCATCGCGCCTCGGCGGGGACAAACCCCGGTACCTGAGACACCCGGTTCGAATTCTTCGGTGGAGATCTTCAAGTCATTTAGGGTCAGTATGGATGACCCTTGCTATAAGGTCCTTCCGGCCGCCTTAAAGAAATATCAGATCAACGCGCCTTGGGACCAATACGCGCTCTATATCGTGTATGGCGACCAAGAACGTTGCCTGGGGCTGCACGAGAAACCATTGATCCTTTTTAAGCAATTGGACAAAGAAGGAAAGAAGCCCATGTTCATGTTGCGAAAAACAAATACTGCGCAAGCGGACGCTGAGACTCCTGGGAGTGCTGGCCTGAATAATGGAGACTTAACATATAACCCTCCCGGTGGGATAATATAATCCCAAGATAAGCATAATATTACTCTAGCACAAGCGCGCATTGTTATTCATATGTTGCTTGTCAGACAGGCATTTGCGTCTATTGCTATAGAGCGGGTGTTTATCGAGTCTGTTTCGATGTCTCGAGCAAGTCAAAATAACTCTTGCAAGGAAGCATCACTTAAAGCTGGACACACGAAACAGGGTTTTTCGAACCGCTGTCAGTGGCAGTTTAGCTTAGTGCGGTGGATATTGTGACTATTATAACTATCATGACGAGAGGCTTTCTAGTAGCTCTATTCCAAACATGTTACTACGTACTATTGGATTTCACTACGTTATGTACATATGCTGATTGTTTTGTAAAGTTCTTCCGTGTCAAGCTGTGATATAAAGATACCTAGGCTGCAAAGGGTGAATACCTACCTAGGTACCTACCTCTAGGTAGGTATGCCTCCTATGTAAGTTAATGTAGTTGTAACCTTGGAACTCACGCAGTTACTTGAGGCAGGTGACTAGATACAGGACAGGTACCTCCCACTTTCAATTTAAATACCCTAAGGTCCAACCTCTGCCCGTGGGGGGGGGGGGCCCCCCCCCCCCCCCCCCCCCCCCAGCACCCCCACCAACACCACACCCCCCACAACCCCAACCCCCCCCCACCAACCAACAAAACAACCCA